ACCATTTTCACTGTGAGCCATTTGTATGTGAATTGTAGAGCACAGCTGATAAATTAAAAAATAGAAAAACTCATGTTCTTAAGCTATAAAAATACTTTTTAACTTCCTGGAAATTAATAAACTTGTCGGCAATTCCTAAAGTTTTTATTGCTAATTTTATTATGTTTACTGGACTAACCTTCTCAAGATATCCCAATTTATACTCAAGTTATCGTTTGAACTTACAGATGAACGGACGGGTAGACCTCCTCATAATTTAGATAGACGCAACAATACTCAAAAGAGTCAAACTTGGAAATAAACCAATTATAGCCAATGTTAGATATTAAATTTTTGAAAAGTGTGTGTGTAATAACCGATAGACTTCCGATATAACCAATAGCTATAATGTCAAATTTAGAAAAAATTATGAAGTACTTTGCGAAAGCTATGTTGTTCAAGTTTATCATTTAGATTAAAAGTAAACGAAATTATATCACAAGCTCACCTCATTAACAATACATAACATAACATAAGTAAGGAAGAGCTAAATTCGGCTATCACCGAACATTCTATACCCTTGCAAATTGCCAGGATCAAACCAGAAGTATACGCAATTCCTAATCAAGATGCCGGACCATTGGCGGACGCAGTAGTCAACAAGTGGGTAACGAGATTCAGGGTTCCAATGGAGTTACGTTCTGATCATGAATGGAATATCGAGCTAGCTTTAAATAGAAGGATATATCAGAAACTGGGTATCCGGAAAACGGATGGAATTAACTCCAAGAAGAGAAGTACGACTAACGAAGTTAACACCTGCCTAGAAGGCGAGATGGGGGACATAAAAGCTTTGTGTTTGAAACCGCAAATATGTCTAATCGGGACGATCAGACTTAGGTGGAGGGCAGTGTGACGAACACAATTGATATAACCGAATCGAATCGACGATAAATTGCCAGAATAAACTAGTTAGCGAATTCGTAGTTGCCAGCATATTCTAGAGGCGATGTTTTGTTAAATATCCACTATATAAGAGCTGCCGGATTCTGCAGCAAACACAGTTCTAATTAAAGTGTTGCCGTGCAAAGATCAATTAAGATATAAGCAAGAAGTTGTGAATTCGAATAATGAGTAGTAAAGCGTGAAGTTGTTTGAATTAGAAATAAAGATAACTGTATAGCCATTAAATTGGAATTTTTGTTCACAAATCCAGTGATCGAACTCTAGAGTGAGTTATAGGTAGACGATTTATCGATAAATCTGTTACAATAAGCAGTATTTGGGAATTGGAGTAATTGGAGTAATATACTATATTTATTTATTTTCAGCATGAAACTATAGTACCATATATCCAAAATTATACGTTGAATTCTAGTTTATCCAATATTAGTCAGTTATTTTACTAAGATATCGTACATATTGACTGATACAAGTATATATGGCATAAGGCCAACCGGAAGTTTGGAAATCGTTTGTTAGTTCATAGTTAATTCAAGTAGTGACATGGACGCATCCTCCAAAAAAAAGTAATTTTTGGTTAGGCTTACTCAATCTGATATCGCCAATTTCAGTCAAACTCACTGTATGTGCAGTGGAATTTATTGCGTTCATATGAAAATGTGGAGTATCAATCTTTAATGTATCGTATTCATTATAATAGATCGCAATACCTCCTGCTTTGCTTTGATTGTTGTAATCACATTCTGCAAAAATAGCCGTCGTTCTCTGTACTCTCGACTTCTCTGTGCACGTGTTTTTGCTGTGCTTTCGTTTGTTTTTTTATTACTGCATTATCACTATAATCAGTAAATAGTTCGTGTACTGTACTTTTATTTTCAACAAGATGTTGTGAGGGCAAATATGACTCTTGGTGATGTCAACTTGAATAATAATTAATCAATGATTATTATCATTTCGTATTACTATCTTGAGTATGAACGGAACTGTAAACGACTATTGCCCTTTGAAATACCTTCATTTGAGATTTCATTTTGCTGAGCTGATTCGTCATCCATAATATATACATTGTCGTTGGTTGAAGAGCTACTTGCAATCGGGGGTTGATTTAGAGCAGATTTTTATGCTTCGTTCACGTGGTGTATCTGTCACTCTCACGTATACAGACACGTATTCCATTATATACCGTGAAGACACGTACATTAAATGTAAACGTGTATTATAATATAATGAGGATACTTACGTTATTATTTGTGTTAAACATTTTATAATAGTAAAACTATCACTCCACACAAATTCGGTATACACTTTTACCACAATCAATTCCCCCACTGTAAGGGAAAGTAATAAAAACAACAACATATGCATTGCTACAATTTGTTAATGGCTACACACGCACACACGAAGCTGGTCATAGCAAATAGCAAAAAGTGTCGTGACGTTACCTTGAAAAATCACTTCAAAAAATGTTGCGAAAGAATTCAACATTCATTGTTCAACGAAATCGTAAATGGATTACAATCAAATTTGGTATTTTATTTAATATATATAATATTCTCACTGCTATATTTTATTTCCCATCAGCTAAAATCATTTTCAAATGAGAAACATGTGATATTAACTCAACCGAAGAGCCTGAATTTTATATTGGTCAAGTAAAAAGTTCGTTCGGTTTTTATGTAAGGGATGGCGTTATTGTCCATAGTACTAGTGTTACGTGTCGTATCATGTCATACTATACGGCGCTGAAAACGTGTTTATTCGCGATAAAAGTTTTTCTTCTCAGTACGTTGTGAGCGCTCGTCAAAGCTGGATTCGCTATATTTTACAATTTTTCTTCGATCAAGCCCAAAAAGCAGCCAAAGCGGCTGAAAAAATTAATTTAGTTTATGGGTCCGATACTGTAAACGAACGTGTAGCACAAAAGTGGTTTGCTAGGTTCCATTCCGGTAATCTCGTAGTCAAAGATGCACCACGCCTCGGGAGGCTTGTCGTCGAAAATTGCGATAAAATCATGGAAATAGTGGATACAGACCGTCACGTGAGCACTTATTTAATTGCTGAGGAACTAAAGATAAGAAAATAGTTTGGAACCATTTGTGTAACCTTGGATTCAAAAAGAAGCTCGATGTTTGGGTGCCACATGAACTAACGCAAAAAAACATGATGGACCGAATTTCCATCTGCGAATCGCTGCTGAATCGCAACAAAATCGACCCGTTTCTGAAGCGGATTGTGACTGGCGATGAAAAATGGGTCCCTTACGACAACATCGAGCGCAAACGGTCGTGGTCAAAGCTCGGGGAAGCGGCCCAGTTGGTGGCCAAGACCGGATTGACGGCCAAGAAGGTTTTGCTGTGTGTTTGATGGAATTAGCAAGGAATCATCTACTACGAGCTGCTCCCCTATGGCCAAATGCTCAATTCGGCCCTCTACTGCCAACAACTGGACCGCTGTGGGTTTGGTGGAATTGGCAAGGAATCATCTACTACGAGCTGCTCCCCTATGGCCAAATGCTCAATTCGGCTCTCTACTGCCAACAACTGGACCGCTTGAAGGCATCACTCATCCAGAAGAGGCCATCTTTGATCAACAGAGGCCGAATTGTGTTCCATCAGGACAACGCCAGGCTACACACGTCTTTAGTGACGCGCTAGAAGCTCCGGGATTTCGGATGGGAGGTCCTAATGCACCCACCTTATAGTCCGGACCTGGCACCAAGTGATTACCATCTTTTCCTGTCCATGACGAACGCGCTTAAGCTCTCCGGGTTTTTTGCCAATAGGGGCGCAGCCTTCTACGAGAGGGGTATAATGAAGTTGGTATCTCGTTGGCGACAATTTTTTGCAATACTCAAGTATACTCGTGAACATTTTTTCAAGCAAATCATAAATATATTCACACACTGACCGATCTTTTCGATTGGTTAATCAGAATAACGAAAACCATTATATGTAGTTTATAGGAGTCGGGGTAGTTCGTAGATCAATTTCACACATTTTCGGCACTATACTGTAGTATACCAATATTATAGTCTCAGTTAATTTTGCTAAGATATTCTACATGTGTACTGATTTATACGGTATAAAGGCGACGGAAAATTTGAACATCTTTTATTATGTATACGGGAGCTAACGATTTGACACGATTTAACACATTTTTGACACAAAGGAATTTCAAAAATTTATCTCAGAGTTTGACCGATATTTTCGGCAAAAAGTCAGCCATACGAACTGGGGTCCACATATTCGGTATGTGGGGGTTGGAACAGTTTTGGTTCGGTTTTTAAAATTTTAAGACGCGAGATTTGATGCACAAATGGTGCAAAGTTTTAACCCGATTTATTCATATATAACTTTAATTTGTATACTGAAAAGTGAAAAAATCATGTGCGAGTGATTCCAATTGGTCAAGTATATCCGGAGATATGTGATTTTACCTATAGGTGGGTGGTGTCACGCCATCATCAAAAACTTTAAGAAATGATTCTCACACATTTTAATTTCTTCACTCAACACACATTATATAATATAATTACATTAGCACTCACGACTATAAGAGATGTATATAATAATACTTTCAGTTAAGTTATTGTACCTAAAAACTGGTGTGCTTTGCATTAATACAGACTTCAACTGAGCATGAATTTATTTATATAATATGTTGTTTTAATTTTAAGATTGAAGAGGAGCTTTCATCATAATAAAAATGAAATGAGTTTAAATCATAATTAAAATACGTGTCCTCAGCCATTGGTGTGATTCTTGTTTTACCTATGGTAATACAGTTTCTCCACTATAATGGAGAATTGAAATTATATGTGTATAAATATGCAAAATATGTGCAATAAATAATTTTATTAAATATAATACGCCAAAATGTCCATTTAAAAAAGGAAAAACACTAGCAAATTGATGGCTTTTTGTAACAAACTCTTCATTGGAGTAAATAATTGAGCTTATATCTGATCTGTTGTACCACATTTAGCCATCAATAAGTAATTATTTATATTTAATAAAAACTTGTCATGTTATTGAACTAAATAAACCCTTGTATTTTAGGCAAAAAGATTCATGTCATGTAATCGAAGACTCACTAGGTGACATTACCGGAAAGACTTTCGCTATTTACTTTAAAACACTAACTAAAACTGAAAAACTAACAAGAGAGTATAAAGAACTAGCATTTGTGGCGACAGATCTCAGCTATTCCGCATCAGAAACAGGATCTATCAAAAATCGATACACCGATATATTCCCATGTAAGTATGCATATCAATCTTTATTAATATTTAAAATTTCGTAAGAATTTACGCAAACGATTTTTTGTAGCCAAAAATTCAATTTTCCATTTGTTAGCACACAACCTATTTTGTTCAACGTTCTCTACTAGGTATTAACAAGTAAGTGTTCATGCGACTTCTGATCCCGCGACATTTTGCAACTCAGTGCACTTTTACACAATGAATTCGATCGCAAATTTGAGTTCTGTTATCTATTTTGTATGTAATATGCAAATATGTATGCATAGAATAATAGAAATATTATGACAAATTGTAAATAAGGAGAAAATTAAGATATAGATAATGGAGTAAAGAAAGTATGAGTTTTTAATACTTAAAGATTAGGAAATTCCTATTATAAATTTGGCCTTGAAAATATTAGTAGCGGATATTCAATACATTCTTGTGGATTAGGGAATTCCCGTCTTTAGTATTTCCTTGAAACTATTTAGTGGGTAGGTACTTGTATTATGTATATCGTTCTACCATATTCATGGTAATTCATTGCAAGCAAAATGTATGACCATCATCTCAACATACAAATGAAATACGCAGCACGCAGTGTTGCGCAGTCGAACCGCACAAATATTTGTGAAAAGGAATGCAGAAAAACTAGACTCGAGTTGTTGGACTCTTTTTGACCGTGTGAATGCACAGAGCGACACCAAAAGAAAATTTGAAAAAAATCAGACTCTTTTGAGTCCCTGTGTAAAAGTGCACTAAGTGCCGTTTCACATTGGGATGCAAAAGAGTCTGATGTTTTTCAAATTTTCTTTTGGTGTCGCTTGGGCATTCAACGGTCAAAAAGAGTCCAGCAACTCGAGTCTAGTTTTTCTGCATTCCTTTTCACAAAATGTTCGTAAATATTTGTGCGGTTCGACTGCGCAACACCGCGAACACTGCGTGCTGCGTATTTCATTTGTATGTTGAGATGATGGTCACACATTTTGCTTGCAATGAATTACCATGAATATGGTAGAACAATATGCATAATACAAGTACTACCCGCTAAATAGTTTCAAAAAAATACTAAAGACGGGAATTCCCATCACAAGAATGTATTGAATATCCGCTACTAATATTTTCAAGGCCAAATTTATAATAGAATTTCCTAATCTTTAAGTATTAAAAACTCTAATTTCTTTACTCCGTATTAAAATTCATAATTTCTTTACTCCTTATCTATATCTTAATTTTCTCCTTATTTACAATTTGTCATAATATTTCTATTATTCTATGCATACGTATTTGCATATTACATACAAAAATAGATAACAGAACTCAAATTTGCGATCGAATTCATTTGAAACCGAGCGCTCTTGCAACCATTCAAAGGATTTGAAAGTGAAAAGGAATGCTGAAAAGGGTAGCAGCGAGCTGTTACGAACAAGAACACAAAGCGTGCCACCCGAACACGAGTGGCACGGTCCCTTCGTCTTTCCTCGTCGTCCCCTCACCCACAATAAACTGGTATGAGACTCTTTTGCGTCCCAATGTGAAACGGCACTAAGCACACAACCCACCGTACAACATCATACAACACAGCATAACACAATGCAACATCATACACCACCTACAACACACCATATCACTCACCAACACGACCACATACAATTAACCAACCACACTATACACCTACACTATACACCCACACTTCAACCAGAGAACTTCATTTAAGTTACAACTGTATTGGGAAGTATGAAAAGAAATCGTTTTTGGACAATGAATAACATTTTTTATTTATTATATCGATATTATTATACATGTTTAGCTTAACAACTTTAAAAATTATATAATATTACTATATTAATTTTTATATAATATTTACAATATTAAACATAAATTTTTATAAAGATTCTTATACTATTTCTATCATATATTTATACAATAATATCATATGTAATAACAAATTATACATATAATTTAAATTTTCTTAATTAGATTATTTACATATTTTTCTTAATTTGTCTTAAAAACTACTGTCAAAATTGCTATACCATTCTAATTCGCTTATATTTAAAAAAAATATATGAAGAACTAGTGCACTACGTCTGAAAACTTTAGTTCAAAATAGAGACACAAATACTGTCATGATAGCTGTGTACTGTCTCAAAAGTAATTGCATTTACACGGGAAGGATCCACGTTTGAAACTGCCCAATCAATTTGTGTACCGGCAGGTCTAGTTGAATATTCTGCACAAAGCAGGGAACTAAAGTTTTTTTCTTGGAGCAGATTTCTTATTGCAGTCCCTGTAGGCATTAAACAAATGTTAAAATCTCCAGCAATTAGCACGTTTTGATTGTCTAACTCAGAAGTAAGGACTTCCTGAAGTTCTACAATTAAATGTCTGACAGAGAAAGCTGAATTTCAATATAGATCTGGAATATTAATATTGAAACATTTAAACAAAACCGCTCCTCAAACTTTGCGGCCTGAATAAATTTTCTTACAGCCTTTGATTCTATAGAGCAAGCAATACTATGCTTTGCATATATATATTATAATGCCCCGTTTATTTCTGTTGCTTGTTTCCGTGCCATCTATCCTCAGCTCGTTTCAAGTTTCTAAAAAACATAAAATATCTGAAGATAGCATCAAACAGTCGCTTTCTATATCATTAATGTGAGCGTGAAGACTCTGAACATTATGGAATAAAATTTAATGTCCTGATGTTCGGCAAATCATAAAATTGAAATTTGTTGTCAGAGCTTTATTTGTGTTCAATTCCCTCAGTTCCCTAATAACAGGATCCGATTCAGAAAATTTGATAGGAGGAGTAAAATTTCCTATGATGAATAGACCTTCTGCAGAAGTAGCTCAACTACAGGCGACATATATTGAAGCTCTAAGCTTTCTGGGTCGAGTATGAACTACACTTCATTATATGTGGCACCCTGGCTTTTATGAATAGTTATTCCCTCAGCCGGATCAACTGGAAACTGATTTCTTTCAATTGAAATTTGTTCATTTCTTTTATATTGAAAAGATTTTAGAACTTTTTCAATTGGTGTCCAAGAACTTTCTAAAGGATGAGGCTTTTTAGATCGTGCTATCAAACCAACAGAAGGTTCCAAAATTTAGTCCACAGAATTGTTGGAAAAGAACAATGGAAATCAATTTACATAAGTTGTCCAGCTGCCCCATTAACCAAGCCATTACACGTGTTTATATTCACTATAATCATATATTTGGCGGAGGTTTTTAGTGTCAATTCATAGGGCAGTCCCTGCGTTTCAGAAGTTTTGAAAAGTTTAACTCTTTTCAAAATGTTATCATTTTCACTTATACCAATTCCTTTAACTGAGTCTTTTGCAGTTGAAAGGATAGCTTCAGTTGAAAAGTTTAACTCTTTCCAAAATATTATCATTTTCACTTATACCAATTCTTTTAACTGAGTCTTTTGCAGTTGAAAAGAAAGCTTCTGTTGGGATTCGACTGAGCTTAAGGGCATTGAAAATAATGTCTCTTCATTGGACCAAAATAAATGTATGGCATCATCGGGAACTTCTTCGAAATGAACTACTTGAGTTTCAATGAGTGATATGTCCTCATTTGTCATAGTACCAGATGCCATATGGTTTAATGCAATTGCAAAGGCCTGATATTCCCGTTGTTTCATTATCTCTGTTAATTCAAAGTATTTAAATAACTCCCACAAAGGGGAACCACCTAAAGTGTTGAATGCATCATTGGGATTAGGAGAGAATATTCCCCTATCTCCAACAGGTGAGAGTTGCTTCAAATCACCAAATACTATGATCGGTATTCCACCGAAAGGGCTGTCTGTTTTGAAAATTTGTTTTAATCTCGCATCAACAGAGCTAAACATACGAGCACCTACCATCGATATTTCATCAATTATGATTAATTTTAAATCGATAAGTCTGGAATACAATGAATTAACTGTGTCATTGCTAAGTGGCCTGAACTCTCTATTCAACTGATTAACTGGAAAAGAGTATATTGAATGAAAGGTCATTCCATCTATTCCGAATGCTGCTTTACCCGTAGGTGCGCAAAGAAGAACTTTTAAGGAACTTGGATTGGATCCAGGAGTAGAATTGCAACGATGGTTAAGAGCTTGATATATTGCAGATATCAAACATAAAATGGGCGATATGTTTTTAGCGTGTGCATCAAATGTGTGAAATAGGTTCTTTGCTTAATATTTAGACTTTGAACTAAAGAAAATAATTCCTCAACTCGAATTAAAGGGGGTAGTTTAATAAGTCTAATATTGCAATCAGATTCAGTGCCATTATCTGTTGAATCTTCGCCATGCAAGTCCAGCAAATTTATATTTGGGTTTATTTCTGGAAGTGCCAACACTCTGAACTCATTTTCCACGAAAGGTAGTTCATTTTGAGCACCGTCGTCCAAGTCTATTTCATTATAAAGACTTTCTAGAACATTTTCAAGTTCCCTTTGCTCAAAAACATCATATTTTCTTTCTATCTGGGTTAAACCTTCTATACCGAATAATACAAGGTTTGTTACGTTTTTTCACAAAACCGGTACCGTCTTTAAGAGGCATGGCAACCCTGCTTGCTGGTAATTTTCCGTCGTCCCTATCTCCTTCTTCATGATCACTGTCTTGTGCTCTTCTACTAGATTTAAAATATTTATACCTAGATGCAAAATCAGCTAAGCAAAGAGTTTCTAACTGATCGGACTTTTGAACATAACGGTCTAAAATACCGGCTACGAATATTTCAGTCGAACCTGAAGGAAGGTTGTGAAGTTTTGCTCTAGGTTTCACCATTCGAACACGTTCCTCATGTCGAGAGGTATTAATAAATATTTCTGTATTACTTTCTTCCAAAAGATGGAGCCCAATGCATATATGAACAGCAAGCATATGCATCCCGTATATATTGGATATCCCTTTTTACTCTATGGAGTTCCAAAATCAGAGGATCATAAGCGTTTATAAAACGATCCTGTAATTTTCTTTTTAGAAATGTCTTCTGTAGTCATATTTGAATTTAAAAGGTTTTGAATTTTGAAAAAGTTTTCCTTGTGCCTCTCTGAATTTTGACTTGTTTCTGTAAGAGGTAACAGTATTTGCGTTGAAGGCATTGGTGGATATGGTATACTGAAACGACAAAACTGTTGTCCTCTT